GAGTTCGTTCTCAGGACATCTGTTGTTTAAAAGTGTGTGGCACCTCCCCCACTTGCTGTCTTGCTCCCAGTCTCTCCATATGAGAATCCTGCTCTCACTTTGCCTTCTATGCCTTCTGCCATGAATGGAAGTCCCCAGATAGAAGGTGAGCAGATGCCAGCACCATGCTTCCTGTAAAGCCTGCAGACCTGTGAGCCAATTAAACCTTTTTCCTTTATAAATTACCCAGTCTCAGGTATTTCTTTATAGCAACAGAAAAACAGCCTAACACAACACGTGTCTCTGCCCCCTGTATTTCTGTAAATATAGAGCTTCCATTAGATTTAGAGTTGATTTTTTGGCAAAAATACTTGAAATACTGATGAAACATTTGTTTTTGTGAATTGCCGCTATTTCTTCTATAACTACACTCATGTTTCATTTGAATTACACTTCCTGTTATCCCTTTTCAGTTTTTTGTTACAGTTTCATGCCTGTTGACCAATTTCCTCTTTTGATTATTCATTTTCCTAAAATGTCACGTGGGCTTCTCACTGGGAGACAAGGAGGTGAGACAACAACATACTTTGCTCTCTGTGTAAACTCAATAATCAATGTGCAGTGATTGGCAACAGCATCCTTTGAAAGAAGTGATGGGTCACTGATGTTAATTGCATGTGTTATTTATGTTGTGATTTGTGGACTGAAGTGCTCACAAAGTTTGTACTTTGTGTAATTTCTGACAGTTAAAATCCCACGGTAACTGAATTTGAACCATGTCGGGGAACCCACGTTATTTAATTAAACCATTGTTATTGGAACTAGGCGGAGCACTGATGACCTGTACTTTTTTCCCTGATGTTTTCTTTTATGTCTGCAATAAACATTCACTGTTTTCCTTATGAAATTGTTTATCAATTCTAGAAATATTTTAGTTGCTTCTCTTGTGAATCACCCTTGATGTTACATTTTATAAATGACCTTCACTGGTATATAGTATATAGGGAAGGTTTTAGTTTCTGTATTTTACTTACACATAATCAAATCAATTAATAGCTTTCAATGGATTGCTTAACTTTGTTTTTATATTTTAAGTAGATACATTATCTGAGAATTTAAGTCTGTCTTTTCCATTCAGATATTTGTTTCTATTGTTGTTTTTGCTATTGTGTACATTGGCTATAGACTCCAGGATAATGTTGAATCATATTAATTATAATAGTGCCTTTAGTGATGTATCAGTCATGTCTCTTATTTTCTGATTTTGATGCCTTGACATCTGGGGCCTTGTTGACCCTGGAGGGACTGCCTCTCTCAGGATAGGCTAATTCTTGTACATAATAAAGAACTTTCCTACCTGTATGCATTCATATACAAACCAACCAACCCAGAGTTTATACCTCCTTCTTTATCCTCTCTTCCTCACTCCTTTTTCTTCTTCATCTCTGTTTATCTCTTTTGCAGTCTTCATTCTTTCTTATCACTCTCACATTTCTGACCAGTATCCTGTTTCCCTAGTTTCCTCAGGACCAGTTAGCAGCCTCTTCTATCCAGAAGCCGATGACGTCATTCAAACCAGACAATTCTAAGCCTGATTGCCCTGCCTCACTTGTTCCTTCTCATGGAAACAGCAATAAAGTTTCTTGCCCATGTTTCCCCCTTTTCCTCTACCTTCTGACCGACCTCGATGTTTCCCTGTCCTGCCCTTGTTGTGTGCTGTGCCTGTTGTTTTCAGGGAACTGTGAGTAGTAAAATCAACTACTTCCCTCATGAGAGTCATTTCTGTGTTTGTGTGTCTTACCACTACTGATAAAAGAAATCCTGGGTACCATAAATGTAACTGACATTTCAGTTCATGCTGTATTATTAAATATGTTTTTTTGCTGTAGGTTTCAAATCCATTATTCAGTATAAAAGCATCTTCCTCAATTGTGAGCTTCTTAAGGGGGTTTAACATTTTTTAACCAGGGGTGGTGTTGAATTTTACCAAGAGGCTTTTTGACATGTATTGACATAATTATTTGTTTATTTCTCCCGTGAGTTTTTGCAATAAAAATGATACTGATTGTATAATAGGTTAAAATTAAAGGTTCTTTAAAGGCCCCCAACATATAATAGTTGTGAAAGTCTAAATTGCCATATGTAGATTTTCATTGCAAGTATCTGGGAAACTGTCCCACAAGTATTAACTCCGCTCCTGACTTTAACAATCTGAATGGATGTAAAGTGGAGAAGACTGCAGGAAGCTGCTGCCTTGCTCTCTCCCCTACCTGGCCCCTGTATGGAGAAGAAAATCATACCAACTCTAAACCTGAGTTTATAGTAGAAATCTTTAGGGGGTCACCAGGACAACTGACCAAAAACACTCCTGGAAGTAATAAGGGGTTATAGCAAAAATGCAGCATACAGGGTTGATATAGGAAAGTCAATAGCAATTTCTTTTTCACACACCAGCAAGGAGCAATTAGAATTTGAAATTAAAAGCACAATACCATTTATATTAACATCCCTCCCGCCAATGGAATACTTTGGTATAAATCTAACAGAATATATAAAATATTGATGAGAAAACCTATGAAATTTGGTTAAAGAAATCAAACAAGAACTGAATAAATAGATATTTTATGTTCATCAAAGGGAAGGCCTATTATTAATGAAATGTCAGTTCTTCCCAATTTGCTCTATAGATTCAACGCAATCTCCATCAAAATCCAGCAATTTATATTGTGGATATTGACAAATTGAATCCAAAGTTTATATGGAGACTCAAAAAATATAAAATAAGGAATAAAAACAAGAATAGCCAACACAATATTAGAAAAGAAGAAACTCAGGGGACTAACACTACCCAATTTCAGTATTTCCTGGAAAGCTACAACAATGAAGGCAGCGTGGCATTGGCAAAAGAACAGACAAATTAAATCAGTGAAACAGAATACAAAGCCCCATGATAGACCTATATAAATATTTGACAAAGGGGCAAAGACAATGAAGAAAACATAGTCTTGTCAACAGTGGTGCTGGAACAACTGCATATCCATATGCAAACACAAAAACAAAGAATCTAGACACAGATCTTACATCTTTCACAAAATTTCACTCAAAGTGGATCATAGACCTATGTGTCAAACACAAAAGTATAAAACTTCTAGACAATAAAATAGAAGAAAATCTAGATGAACTTGTGTATTGCAGTTACCTTTTAGATACAGCAGCGGCAATGGATTCATCCATGAAAGAAATGATTCATAAACTGGACAATCTAGAGAAGGAAATGACAAGCCACAGACTGGGAAACAACATTTGCAGAAGACATGTCTGATAAAATACCATTATCAAACTTTGAAGAACTCTTAAAACTTAGCAATAAGAACATGAACAGTCCAATTAAGAAAACTGACAAAACATCTGAATGGACACCTCACCAAAAAAGATAAAGATGGCTAATAAGCATATGAAAAAATGCTCAACATCATATGTAAACAGGGAATAGCAAATTAAAAGTGATACCGCTACATACCTATTAGGATGACTAAAATTCAACACATAGGGTGGTGCAGCAGATCACCATGGCACACGTTTGCTTATGTAACAAACCGTCAGGTTCTGTGCATGTATCGTAGAACTTACAGTAAAATAAGATTAAAAAAATTTTTTTTAAAGAAAAGCCCCATTATTACTGCATCTGACATCAAAAGAACATAATGTAACTAAAACTGGAGAGTTACTGTTTATGATATAAAACTTAATGAAAAGCAAATTTTCCTTCCATCCTATTTCAAGCATATGCTCAAAAAAATTAAGAATATTTTTGCCAGTTTTAAGCACTAAATATCTTCTTTTAAAACTCAATCTGTTTCATTTTAAATTTCCACTTAGACTGCAGGAGTGTCCAATCTTTTGACTTCCTGGGACACACATGAAATGCACTAATACTAGTGATAGCTGATCTGCAATTAAAAAACTCGCAAAAATATCTCATAATTGTTTTGTGAGTCTCGCTCTGTCTTCCAGCATTGAGTGCAGTGGCAGAATCTCAGCTCACTGCAGCCTCTGCCTCCTGGGTTCAAAGGATTATTTCACCCCAGCCTCCAGAGTTGCTGGGATTACAGTCACTCATCAACATGCCGGGCCAATTTTTATATTTTTAGAACAGATAGGGTTTAGCCATGCTGGTCAGGCTGGTCTCCGACTCCTGACCTCAAGTGATCCTCCAGCCCTGCCCTCCCAAAAGTGCTGGAATTATAGGTGTGACTCACCACGCCCTGCCAAGAGATCATAACGTTTTCATGTTTTTTGGGCAGCATTCAAAGCTGTCCTGGGCTGCCTGCAGCCCATGGGTTGAGACAGCATGATTTAGAGCTTACGCTTCCCCAAATACTAAAACATACCATTAACAATCTTCCTTAATTTAAAAAAATGCATTATTATTTTCCACTCATTTTAAGAAGATTTGGAGAAATTTTACAGTTTAAAAAACAAAAACAAAAACAGAGCCATGGAAAGAAACAGAAAATGTAAATGGCGTATCAGAAGCCAATCTGAAAGAGAAGAGATATAGGTTCAAAGAGCCAAGGATAAATTGGGCATTAAATGTATCTCTGAGGGAAAACATTCCAGATTGAAATATACATATATAAGACTCTCTTTGCCTGCCCCTGTATTCTTATTTACAGGATACTTACAGCACTGTGATAACACAGAATTCAAAACCTAACTAAATAACTTAATTTTTACTGTTATCCAAGCATTTAAAAAGCCACACCAAAACAGCCTGTGTCCAGGACTCCAATCAATCAAGCAACTGGATCTCAGAGAATGGGAACCATCTCTGTTTTTCATGTTTTCTGGTTTTCCTCTCTCGATTTTTCTGAGAATCCTGAAGGTTGCTGAGGTAGAGATGGACAATATATCTAAGGTCACTAAGACTTCAGAAGGCATGGGATGGTGAAAGCTATTTTTAATTACAGTGTTGATCCCAAGAAAGAGTGACCCAATAATCTTTCTAGAAATACCATCATCAGGAAGAACATTTAACTTTTATTCATTTATTTTATTCATCTGCTGCTTCTGAACATGGATGCTTCCTGCCTCTTGTGGGGCATAGGAGGCCTCTTGGCTACCACGGGGAGGGGATGACCTAGTGGAGTGGGGAGCTCCTGATCGTCCAGGGGCAGTGGTGGTGGCTGCAGCAGCAGGAAGTCATCAGGTGGTGCAGGGAAGCCACCTTGGGGGACTCGGTGGGACTGCTGCTGGTGTCTGACACCAGAAGGGAACGGGGACAGCTGAACTTGGTGGCCTGTGGGGCCTGAGGTGCTCCCGTCTCCTGGTGGTTCTCAAGGGCTGGCTTGTTATCCTGAAATGGAATGATGGCAGCATTCATTATTAGAAAGTTTTTGAAATTTTCAATTTATTGTTATTAATTAATAGAGACTGGGTCTCACTCTGTCACCCAGGCTGAGTGCAGTGGTGCGACCTGGTCTCACTGCAGCCTCCTGAGCTCAAGTGATTCTCCTGCCTCAGCCTCCCGATTAGCATTCTTTATTCTTGACAAAACAGTCCCCGGTGGACAGGACATGCCATAGATATGTGAGGTCTCTGTCTGCCCCCTGGGGAGCCTCTGTCCCTCAGTCACTGAGACTCCTGAGCTCACTTCATGAGCTCATCTTTGCTCTGGAATAGGGCAATGACTCTAAATGGCATTCTTATTATTATTTGAGAGGGAGTCTTGCTGTATCACCCCGGCTGCTGTCCAGTGGAGCCATCTAGGCTCACTGCAACCTGCGCCTCCCAGGTTCAAGTGATTCTCCTGCCTCAGCCTCCCAAGTAGCTGGGATGACAGGCATGTGCCACCATGCCTGGCTATGTTTGTTATTTTTAGTAGAGACGGGATTTCGCCATGTTGACCAGGCTGGTTTTGACTTCTGACCTCAGGTGGTCTGTCCACCTTTGCTTCCCAACGTGCTGGGATTATAGGCCTGAACCACTGTACCTGGCCTTTCTTTTTTTCTTTTTTTTTTGCGATGGGATCTTGCTGTGTCACCCAGGCTGGAGTGCACTGGCATCTGAGCTGGACTCACTGCAACCTCTGCCTCTAGGGCTCAGCCATCCTCATGCCTCAGCCTCCCGAGTAGCTGGGATGACAAGCATGTCCCACCAAGCCCAGCTAATTTTTGTATTTTTTGTAGAGATGTTTATTTGGCATGTTGCTTAGGCTGCTCTCCAACTCCTGGGCTCAAGTGATCTGCCCACCTCGGCCTCCCAGAGGGCTGGAATTATAGGTGTGACCCACCTCAACCGGACAGCTTACCTTTTCTCAACTGCATGGAAGCTGGCTGGTTCACCCGGTATAAAATGAGCTCTGTGGTCTCTATTTATAACCTGTGTCCCAGGTTGTGATGAGATCAAATGAGATACATATGTGAGTTCTGAAAAGAAAAATCACCAGTGTGTGCTCTTAATAGAAACCAGAACACCAAATTTGGTTAAAGTCTAATAGAGGCATAGCCCTTGCCCTGCCAATACTGGAATAGACAATAATTGATATTTATACAATGAAACGTCCCCAGGCAGCTGAACTGAATGCCTCTGTTTCAATAAATCATTCCAATTTACATTTCATCAGGGTTCCAGTTTATTTCTTCCTCTGCCTAACAGCCTCTTACTTCTGAAGATTAAATTTGGAATTCTTTTTCTAATAAAGTTCCTTCTGATTTGGTTTTTATTTGAGTTAGTTTATTTACTTAGCGTGATAAGCTAATTAACTGGTGATGTACTTCAAAAAATTGCTGAACAGGAGGCTTGGGTGTTGGTGTTCACATATAGTGAAGTGATTTCTATTCTGGGATTCTTTTATTTCTTTCATTATTTTTATATGCTTTTTTTCAATTGACATTATGGAAATCATGAAAATAATCGCTGAAAGCGCATTGCATGAAGAGATTGTCAGCCTTGAGAAGATAATGAGAACATGAAAGAAATACAACTTTTCAAGGCCTGCAGTGGTTTCCAATAAAAAGTTCTATAAATACCAAGATATAACTATTTTCACCCCTGGCTGATGGAAAAATGAAAGGGTGAAAGAAGTGAAAAATTGCTGAAGTGAAGCACCCGCCTGTCCTCGCTGGGTGATGTGCTGTTGTCACAGCTATTTAAGGTTGTTCTGAACAGACACGAGAATCTTCAACAGAATTTACAGTCAACTGAGAGATTATGAACTAGATCAGTAACTACATCATAATTATTAGGTATGATTTTAAGTAGATTTAAATGAATCCTCATTAATCTATTGGGTTGAAAAATGTTATGGAGGATATCATTCCAATTTACCTATTATTTTAAAAGGTATTTTTCCTCCATCACCTTGGGGATAAATGTTGGACATTAATGGGGAAAATAGAAAGTGCACATTTTCAGTGTAACCCATTTTTTCTATTTTTAAGACAGGGCCTTTATCTATCACCCAGGCTGGAATGCAGTGGCACGATCACAGTTCACTGAAGCCTTGAAATCATGGGCACAAGCAATTCAAACACCTCAGACTTTCGAGGACCTAGGAGCACAGGTGCACCCCACCAGGCTGAGCTAATTTTTTTACTTCTGGTAGATATGAGCTCTCACTATGTCACCCAGACTTGTCTGGAAGTCTGGAGCTCAAGCAATTCTTATGCTTTGGCCTCCGAAACTGCTGGGATTACAGGTGTGAGCCACCACACCCAGCCTATTTTCTCTTTTTAACAGAACAGTTACTGGAACAATGCGAATGGTTTAGGACATGGGCTTATGGGGTCAGCTGGGTGGAATGTGTGTCAGCCGCTTGCTGGCCTCACCTTCCATGTTTCAGCACGTGTCTGGGCCTCTTGGAGAACAGCACTGACAGAATGTGCAGCCTGGGGCATCTGTCCACTGGGCTTGGGTGGGGCGGGTGCCTTTCTAGGTCCTGAGAGGGAGGAATTGAGAAAAGAAGAGTGAGCAAAGCATTTTCAACATTTTTGCAAGTTAATCAGAAAATACAAAGCGGTTTATATCTCTAAAGCAAAAAAAGATATTTGCTGGCTACTTCTTAAAAAAAAAAAAAAGAAACAAAGTAAAGAAAGCAAGTCACAGGCACGGCATGGTACACAAGACCTTATGAAAAATCTGAGGTTCTGTGACAAAACTTTATATGAGATTCATCAAAAGGTTCAGGAAAGTGAATATGGTATTTTATAAACCCCACTGAGGAGGGTCTGGATTGTGTTCGTGGAGAGGAATAGTAAGTTTTACTTTAGAAAACCTTTTCATAATTGAAGAATAAACCTTGAAAACCTATTTACCTTCAAAATAATTATATTGTTTTCCCTGAAATGTAGTTTTCTAGTTTCACACCACACTGAGAACAGGAGCAACTTTTGAACATTGTCCTCAAAGATGAGTATGTCGGACAGAGACACAATAGACAGAGATTCGAGCACAATGTGGGGTTTTCTGAAATAATCTGTTATTAGATGTCTTCCCCCTCCATAGTCCTGGTATTGCAATTTTTTTTCTTGCCTTTTAATTTGTCCTTTTTACACAAAGCTTGACTCATGAAAGGTTTACAGCTGTGAGAGAATCAGATAGAAGAAGCTCTATGTTGATTTCTGGGGCTCCTTAGAAAGCATCCCGCACAGGACGGCCACCTCTCCGCACTCAGTCTGTTTCTGTAGCAACTGAACTGCTGCCCAGCCCAGGCCAGAAGGTCTTCAGCTCCTCTCCCTGTAAATGCAGAGACGCTTTAGCCATGCTCAGCACCACTGTTCTGCCTGTTTATTTCTTAAACTAGTTTTCTCGTAATTTGAGAAACCTGCTAATCTACATGACAACTCAAAGAATGAGTTCAAGAGATTAGAAAAAAAAAAAAAAAGGAAAGTTTGGCTGGGCTCTGGTGGGTCATTCCTGTAATCTCAGCCCTAGGGCAGGCTGAGGTGGGGGGATCACTTGAGGTCAGGAGTTGGGAGAACAGAGTGGCCAATTTGGTGAAACCCCATCACTGCTAAGAATACAAAAAATATAAGACCTGCAATTATAATCCCAGCTGCTCAAGAGGCTGAAGCAGGAGAATTGCATGACTGTGGAAAGCAAGGGTTGTAGCGAGCTGAGATCATGACACAGCACCCCAGCCTGGGTGACAGAGTGAGACTCAGTTTCAGAAAAAAAAAAAAAAAAGGGAATGATACAAGGGCTTTTGGAACCTCAGGGGAAATTATGGGAAGGGGGAGAAAGATCAGAGACTACAAATTGGATTCCGTGTGTACTGCTTGGGTGAGATGCACTAAAACCTCCCAAATCAACAGTAAGAAGTTAGTCACGTAACTAAATACTACCTGTTTGTTTGCCAAAAATGTATCAAAAGAAACATTAAAAAATTTTTTTTGAAAACTGCAAAAATTGAGTACAGTATTTTCAAGTTAGAAAGGCCCATCTATCATGAGGTTTAAATGTTAAAAGGAATGAAGAGAACAAACAAAGTTTAAATAGAGAAGCAGTCAGACATTTTCTCTACAGCAATGCAATCTGTAGCTTACATTTTGTATTCTAAAACTGAGCTTTCAGCCAGCCTGTGGGAAGAAGAAGAGAACACAGAACTGGGCATTGGGGTAGGAAGGAGGAAAGAAACTATCTGGACAAAGAAGGGAAAGAGAAGGGGTAGGGAATCGAGGCAGAGCCAGTCCTCCTGCTTGGGACCTGGGCCTAGGAAAGTTAACTAGGGCAGAGGGAGGAGCCCCAGGCTGTGGATGCCTTTGGGGGGAACTTTACATCACTAGGGCCAGAGGAGGTCCTGAGGCCTAGGTGTATCCATAGCCTCCCTACCTTTGGTTATCTTCTGGTCGACAATATGCTGCAAGTCACGACCCTCGCTGACTCCCAAATCCGACTGGGCAGGCTCCAAAGCAGTGGGGTCTGGTGCTACCTCCACCTCATAGATCTCAGAGCTGCAGGTCTTCTCCCTTCATGTCACCCTGAGCTGGCTCCAGTTGGGCCTGGCCTTGGGGTATGGAGTGTTCCAGGCCCTTCTGCTCCTTTCTGCTGGGGTCTTTGCCTTTGCTGACTGTCCACTCATAGATGTCTGAGCCCCAGGATGGCTCCACAGAACCCCTGTGGGGGCTCTGCCTGGGCTTGATTTTGGTGCACATGCAACAGCTCAGTGTGGTCCCCATGGGGCAACTTTGATTTTCTTGGGTGCTTGGGCCTCTGCCTGCCCATATGTCTGCCGAGCTCCACACCTACTGACTTCCTGGCAAGGCACGGCTGGCATGGACAGCCCTGGACCATGGGCCTGTACCCTCCTTGCAGCCTGCACCCTCCCTCACCTGGCCACCCTGAGCTGACTTCTCTGCAGCAGTCAGAACCTGCCTGGTTGATTTAGAATGGGCCTGAATGCACCAAACCTGACAGCTATGACTGTGGAAGGAGAGAGCACAGACAGGACTGGAGATCCCCCAACTGAAGACCGCCAACTGAAGACGACCAACTGAGGGCACAAAACCAAGGCAACCAATGAGGGCAGCCACTGAAGGCCACCAGGTGAAGGCTGGTTGACCTGCCAACCAGACCACATCCTGCTTAAGGGAAACAATCAGGCCCAGGCCACCTCCACACTTCCCCCCAGACTCGGAACTTGAGAGAGTAGGTACAAGGCTCACTAGGCCCCGCCCCACCTTTCACTCACTGCTGGCTGCTGGGAGCTTTCAGATTTCTCACTGTGCTGACGTTCCTAAAGATCATCACCTTACAATGAATGATGTTAAAATTACTGAAACCAAATCCGCCTCATGCACTAGCTGGGACTCGTAGAACCTCCTTTCCCCCATTACCTCTGAGCTTTATAGAAAGTAGAAAAATGACAGAGTTCTGCATGTGCTTTCAGAAAAACACATTGCCATGACTTAAGGCTACACTACAATGTAAAATGTTGTATATATTCAATACATATATATTCAATTTACCTTTTTTGAAAATAACACACATATTCAACCTAATTAACAAGACTAATAGAGAAAATTTCCTAAAATTTATACACTAAGTTCATCACAGTTTTCTAATGTTCACTTTCATAGAGCAACTTTATGGTTTCAACAAAGAAAGAGGCTTATGGAAGAGAAAACCACCCAGTAATACAGTATTTTAAATGTGATCCTCATTGCTACTAATAAATAAAAATTACCCAGTATGTATTGTGAACTGCTTTGTGACTATGCTGACTTACTTATTCTCTCTGACTCTTGGTTTGATTATCTACAAAGCATAACACCAATTTTATAAACTTGCTCTAAAAATTAGAGAAAAAGAATCCTCCTTCTCTATATATTGAACACTTACAAACTTACAGGCATCGTGTTCAGATTTTCACACGCTTACCTTATGGAAGCCACATAACAATCTCATCTTTTAAATTAAAAGCATTATGCCCAGATTTTTACACACTTACCTTATGGAAGCCACGTAAAAACTTTGTATTTTAAATTACAGTTATTATGGCCAGATTTTTACACACTTACCTTAAAGAAGCCACATAACAATCCCATGTTTTAAATTACAGACAATATGTCCCGATTTTTAGACACTTACCTTATGGCAGCCACAGCTTCGTATTTTAAATTACAGTCATTATGGTCAGATTTTTACATACTTACCTTAAGGAAGCCAATAACAACCCCATGTTTTAAATTACAGACAATATGCCCAGATGTTTACACACTTACCTTATGGAAGCCACAGCTTCATATTTTAAATTACAGTCATTATGGTCAGATTTTTACACACTTACCTTAAGGAAGCCAATAAAACCCCATGCTTTAAATTACAGACAATATGCCCAGATGTTTACACACTTACCTTATGGAAGCCATGTAACAGCTTCGTATTTTAAGTTACAGTCATTATTGTCAGAGTTTTACACACTTACCTTAAGGAAGCCAATAACAACCCATGTTTTAAATCACAGACAGTATGCCCAGATTTTTACACACTTACCTTATGGAAGCCACAGCTTCGTATTTTAAATTACAGACAATATGCCCAGATTTTTACACACTTACCTTATGGAAGCCAATAACAACCCCATCTTTTAAATTACCGACAATATGCCCAGATTTTTACACACTTACCTTATGGAAGCCACAGCTTCGTATTTTAAGTTACAGTCATTATGGTCAGATTTTTACACACTTACCTTAAGGAAGCCAATAAAACCCCATGTTTTAAATTACAGACAATATGCCCAGATGTTTACACATTTACCTTATGGAAGCCACAGCTTCGTATTTTAAATTACAGTCATTATGGTCAGATTTTTACACACTTACCTTAAGGAGGCCACATAACAACCCCATGTTTTAAATCACAGACAATATGCCCAGATTTTTACACACTTACCTTATGGAGGTCACATAACAACCCCATGTTTTAAATTACAGACAATATGCACAGATTTTTACACACTTGCCTTATGGAGATCACATAACAACCTCATCTTTTAAATTATAGGCATTATGCCTAGATTTTTAAACATTTACCTTATGAAGGCCATGTAACAGCTTCATGTTTTAAATTCCAGTCATTATGGCCAGATTTTTACACAGTTTTCTTATGGAGGCCACATAACAACTTCATCTTTTAAATTACAGTCATTATGGTTGGATTATTACACATGTACCTTATGGAAATCACGTAACACTCCCATCTTTTATTGATGAGCAAACTGAGCCTCAACCAAGTTAAAAACACATTCCCCACCACATCATAATGAGTGACGGAAACCGGATGCAAATTCCATTCTGTCTGACAGCAAAGGTGATGCAACGTAACAGAGACTGAGTTGTACCCAGCATATGGAGGGAGTCACAACACGTGGGTTCCCTTTCTCCACCCTTTCATGTGTGAATTTCATTGGTTTTTATGGCCTCAGAACAATCC